ATGAAGAAGCTGCATGCACACACATACACACCCAAACACTTAACTACATCTATTGCTACTTCAGCCAGGCAAGAGCACGTACCAGGGTAATCGCAGTAGTGGATGCGTCGTTTCTCCAAGTCAGGGTTACTCCTTCTATTGTATCTGACAGGCTGGATGTTCTGCGAATTAACTGGCAGGGTGGCAGGTAAATTTGGATTGTGAATTGCCAGCTTAGAAGCAATTGTAGCAGCATAGGATGGAGGTGGGGTTAAATTCTGGAGCATCTCTGCTTGTCTATCGGGACTTCCAGGCTCTGAGCTTGGTGGTGACGGGGGAAAGTAAGTGGCCTGCTGTGGAAGAAACTGACTTGGCATTGTGTATGTGCAAGGGGGCATGGTCTGGAATTGTTTCATTGCAGTCTGCGGAACAGCAGAGGTGTGTGTGTTAAGGCCTGCCATGGCGGCTGACATAGAAACGTTAAGAGTGTCCATTACTGCTGTCTGGTTTGTAGAACTGGGCATATCTAGATCCGGTGTATTCAGGAGCTGGTACAGGTGGCCCTGCTGGGGAGGGACAGAAAGATGAAGATCTGGTGTAGGAAGTTCTTGTTTGATGAAAATATTGTTCACCTCTGGAGCTGCGGTCTGGTGTGAGCTGAATATACTGGTGAACTCGGGGAGGGCCTGGGTCGGGGCCGGAGGAGGGGCAGTCGTTTCACTCTGGTGGCTGAAAATGGTAACAGGTTCTGTCTTGATGTGTGTTACGCACGGTCTCTGGGATTTGTAGAGGCCAGTTCTCAGGTGAGTGATGTCAGGGAGGAAGACGTTCATGTTGATACTGTAAGGTAACCCTTCACTGTCAGTGAAGAACTGGTCTACGACTGAGGCACTGTCTCGTCTATACTTTTTATGCTCTGGAATTATAGGAACTGGAGGAAGCTGAGGTGTCAGATACTTCTCCATTTCACATCTTGTCTGAAAAAGAAGAAATACAAACATGCATCACCCACCGGATTCTTCATTGCCGGAGGGACAGATAAACAGTGCTTCCTGAGAGCTCACAACCAGCCCTGTGTAAAAAATATCGGGGCGTGCTCCTTTTCTAAGTGTGGCTTACAAACGTATCGAGCTTATTTTGTCAATTGTGTAATCATTGGTTCACCCAAACCTTACGAAACTACGTATAAAATCTATTTGGCAAAACTGTTCCCCCAACCAACCCCAGACAAAAAGTGAAAGAAGCAAATCAAGGAAAAAAGGAAGCAAACAGAAAACATGCTCCTCTCTGATGCAATCCTATCCCCACTCCAGAAGGAGGGTTCCCTGCTCCCTGACACCCTTTGCTCTAAAATACTGCCAAATAACCTCGGTTCTGTTCATGTCATAGAGTTAAGTATAACCTGTTAAAAAAAAAAAAA